GAGTTCCGGCCCAGCCACGGCGGGCGCAAGTCCCGAATCGCACCGAAGCGCGCGAGCTTCACGACGCACTCGGCCAAACGCCGCGCATCAGCGGCAGCCGTGCGCTAGGGCGGCAAACCCTTGACTTTGAGGTTTTCCCTGACGAATGCGTCGGGATTCGCGGGCCCCTTCTTGCCCCGAGATCGCGGCGGGGCCGTCGCCGCCCGGGGCGCGCCCCCAGCCGCGCCAAGGAAGCCGCGGCCCTGGGGCGCGCCGCGCGCCAGCAATGCAAGACGCCCCCTCGGATTGATCGCCGTCCTCGCCTCCTTGAATTCAAGCGGCCGGCGCGCGCGGCCACGGGCAGGGGCCGCCTGGGCCGCGCGCGCGGTGCCCGGGCCCGCGAACAGCCCGCCGAGAGTCACCGCCAGGCCTGCGCGCAACCGCGCGCGGGCGTCGGCCCCCCTGCACGGCGCGACGCGCCTGTTGCGCTGCCCGCAACAGTTTCCGCGGGCTGCCCAACTGCGAGCGCGAGCGCGTTGCTGCGCGGCCCGCGCCAGGCATCGGTTGCGCTGGTCTGCGCCCCGGGACCGCGGCCGCGAGGCCAGCGACGGCCCCGCCCTAGCGGCAGCTCCACTGAGAGTTCTGCCAGCCAGCACTGGCAGAGCCTGGCGCTTCCTGGCGCAGGCGCCCCGCGGCGCGCTGCGCGTCCAGCTCGGGTCCGCCGCGCCCCCGGCGTCGAGCGACGCCGAACTGATGGTCGTCTTGCAGCGGCCCTTCTCCGCGCGGAGCCCCCCCGTCGAGCGGTCGTTCTCGCGCGCTGTCCGGGCGCGCGAAACGCGGCGTCGCACGCGCCGCCCGAAGGGCGCCCAAGGAGGAGAGGCCGCCGCCCTTGGGGACATTCGCCAGGCAGGTCACCTGGAAGGACCGTGCACGCGCGCGCTGGATGAACTTTTTACGGAGCGGCGGCGAGTGGCGCAGCGGCGACTTCGTTGTCCCTGGCGGCCTTGCGCGCGCGTTTGATCTTCGCCGCGGCGCCGACGTCGTCGGGCGAGCCCGCGGCGCGGCGGCCCGCGCGCTCGACCCCGCGGGCCTTCGCGGCCCGAACCGCGCCCACCATGTGCTCCCCGGGCACCCCCTGGCCACGGATGACGCGCAAGAGCGCGGAGGGCGTCGCCCAGCTAGTCGCGGAGTGCGCGGCGGACTTCGGCGGCCCCTGCCCCCGCGCGCGCGCCCCCCTCGCGCCGCCTTTGAACTCTGCGGCGAAATCCGCCCCCACTCGGGTTCTCCCTCGCCCGCCCCCCTCGCCCCCGACCCGCCCACCTCCGGCGCCGCGGGCGCTGCGCGCGCCGAGGGCGACGGCGCCGATGGCGACGGCGCCAATGGCGACGGCGCCGTCGGCGACGCCCCCCGCACCTGGGGCGCGCCGGGCCCTTCGACCTGCATCGGCGCCAGGCTCGACGCGGGAGGAAGGCCCGCCATTGCCGCCTGGCTGGCAAAGCCTGGCCCCTGTGACGCGCGCGCGCGCCTCGCTCTGCTCCGGAACGCCCGCGTCTTGCGCCTGGGGCGCGCGAAGCTCCTCGACCTGCGTCGGCGTCTGGGGCGACGCCCCCGGCGCCTGGTGCGCGCAGAGCTCCCTGGCCCGCGTCGGCCCCGGCGGCAGCGCCACGGGCTGCGGAGGCGAGAACGCCGCGCCGCGGCCAAACGGGAATGGTAACCGCGATTGTTGTGTAGGGCCCCCCTCTGCTGAGCTGGCAGAGCCTGGCCATGTTCCGGGGTCGCCTCGAACGGGCCGCCGTCGGTTGCGACTCTGCTCTACTTGGCGGCGTTGCCTCGGAGGGGGCCCGGCAGGATGCACGCGGAAGTGCACCAAGCACGACGCGCTCACTGGGCGGCGACGCGCCCGCCCTGGCCAGTGCGCGCTGGCAGTAGTCCTGGGCGCGCGCTGGCATGAGCTCCTTCCCCTTGACGGCGCGCATGGGGACGCGCATCTCTTCGCAGCGCAAGTGATTGGAGGAGGCTTGAAGCACGCCGTGGAAGGTAAAAGGGCGGTCGAGGATGTCTCTCATGCGCATGATGCGCGCGTGCTTGAACTCGAGCGGCTGCTCCAGCAAGTCTGGTACATAGACGTTCACGTTCTGCTCCATGAGATGTTTGCCCGTGTTGCCCTGCGACGTCTCTCGTTTCTCACGTCACCTCCTCCACGCCAAGTGCGTTTTGAAAGGCGTCGTGGAACGCTTGCCCGGTCAGCCCACGGTCTGGCGCGAGCTCCACGAACCCCGCCGTCTACTCTCGGCGTGTTCGAACCTTCCTTAGACCTTGGACTTGCGAGGTCCGTTGTAGGTGCTGACATAACCTGGCACCGAGGGGTCGGGCGAAAACGCCGCGCCACTGGTGCTGGCCGTCGGCGCCACCGGAGAACAGGCGCGAAGGGCAGAATTGGCCGAGACGTCCTGCGGATTGCTTGAACCTGATCGTTGTGGTGATGGCAGCGGTGGTGAGTATGGTGATAAGAGCATACAGTACCACAGGGCACCACGAGATACAGTCAGCCCGCATCATAAGGATGAACGGTACGGATGCAAGGGCCTTGGAGGCCGATGTTGACGTTTTTCGAGCGAGGCTGGCCAGCAAAACTCGCTAAGGATGGGCCAAAGGGACAAGGGTGCAAGGGTAGCCTTGGGAAGGTTGCCCATCCTTAAAATGCGGGTTGACTGCACAAAGGTGCGTAGCAGGAAGCCACGATCAACCTCACTATGGGCTCCTCTGGCGATCCCACCATGGATCAGCCGGTCTCGCGCGCCCGCGCCCTCCCACAGAACCACGCGGCACTTCTTTGCCCGCGCGATCGTCCCTTCAGAGGGACATATGAAGAATGAGCAGGGATCACGAGGCACCACGGGACACCACGGGACACCACGATCGATCTCACCATCGATCTAGCTGTCATTTATTTGCCTGGCCCTTTTTTCTTGAATACATACTACGACAACATGTGGATCTGTATCTCTGTAGACCGATCCATATCACGACCGATCTTCCTGTATCGATCGATACCACGGTCTATCGGTCTCACAATCTACCTGACAATCGACCTCACGGAACACCAGGGGACACCGCAGGACACCGCGCCGCGGGACACCACGGGACATCACGGGGCACCACGGGACACCACGGGACACCGGCAGGACACTCCCGAACCACCGCCGGCCAACCAAAGGAGGGAAATCATTGAGCCCGGTTTCGCCCTAGCAACGGAGGGTTCATTCCTCTCGCCCGCCCACGCAGTTTCGCCTCGCCCGCACGCACGACACGAACACGAAACCGAAACTGATTTCCCTGTGGGGGGCTCCCCGTGTCCTTGCGATCTAGCCCCCCAACCTCCGATGATATGGTGTGCCTCGAAACCCATTGCGGTGCCAAGCTTGCACTATTGTCTGCCCTTCAAGCGTTGATTCATAGTTCCGTGTCTCGCCTGGAACTGCGTAGCAATGCGATGCACATCCTGATTGTATGCACGCTGCGTTACGTTTGTTCGCTCTGACACGCTATGTTAACATGGCCGAAATTAGCGTGCGTCACGCTGCCTTGGTTTGCTATTACTGCCCTACGCCGCAATAGCACGCGTGAAATCGTCGTGACACTACCTTGGTTGTCCGGGGCCTGGACATGCCTGGACATGCGACGCATTGAATTTGTATTGCCCACGCTTGCCGTGTCTCGTCTGTCCCTGGGTTGCCCGACGAAGCGCGCCTGTCTTTGCGCCGCCCAGCGTTGCCAAGAACCGCCGCGCCTGGCATAACAGTGGAAAAGGACGTACACCCCCCTGCGGCTGCCAACCAGAGACGATGACTCGACACAGACACGTGGGGAAGGGTAGGAGTTGGGGCTGGCCTGCCTAGAGGGGCGTATTGAAGGGGCGGCTGGGGACATGGCGGGGAGGAAGGCGTTCTCGACATGGAGGTAGCGGGGAAAGGGTGGAACGGTCGATTGGGGGCAGCTCAAGACAACGGAATCAATCGTCCTCTCCCTCTCCCTCCCTCTTCCTCCCCGACCACGTCCCAAATCCCCATTACGCATGTCTCTTCTCAGGCCGGAAAGAATCAGATCGTAAGATTTGCCCCGTCTGGTTACCACCTGTCAGAGGCACTACTTGCAGCCAGGTTCTCATGAAGACACCCGTCGCAAAACAGGCAAGCGTGCCGCGCATTCTAGGCAAGCGTATGTCACCAGACCCCTTCAATATCACACCAGCGACAGCCGCGCAGCGAGGCCGCCCCGCGCCACCCCCCCGACATGTTCTCACCACATCTTTCCAGCAGACCCCGCTGCGCGGGCGCGCCCTTGCCAGGAAAGTGCTCCGCCCGATGATCCCCCGCCCCCTCCCCCCTCGTCCCCCCAGCGAAGAGGGAGGGGCGAGGAGGACGGAAGGAGGGAGGAGGGGGTAAGGATGGAAGGGAGGTGGGGAGGGGGAAGATGAGGCGGAGGAGGAGGACGAGGAAGAGGAGGAGGAGGAGGAGGAATAGGAGGAGGAGGAGGAGGAGGAGGAGGAGGAATAGAAGGAGAAGGAGGAGGAGGAGGAGGAGGAGGAGGAGGAGCGGCAGCAGCAACACGAGGAGGAACAGGATGAGGAAGAGGAAGGGGAAAAGCGATAACGGTGAACAGGAGAAGGAGGAGGAGGAGGAGGAGGAGAAGGATAAGGATAAAGAGCCATGCCACTTCGTCAGCCTTTTTACTCGCCCATCCCTCCCTGCACAGGTGGAGCGCGTACGAAAGGAGATCCGATAGGACGCAAGACTCTCACAAGGGGCAACAAAGCCACAAATCCGATAGGACGTGGAGGGTGATTGGTAGGGCATCGCTGCACCCCCGATCGTGAAGGGCCGATCTACTCTTGCGCGCCGACTGCACCCGTACGCATTGCCTGGTTCCCGTCAAAGTCGGCCCTTGATGTCGACTCTGCTCCATCGTCGCACCTCCCTGGGCAGCTGGCCCGTTCCAGTCCAACCAGCCCCTCTCGTCGCCGCTCTGAGCGCTGTAGGACGGGTAGTAGAAAGAAGTGTGGTGAGCCTTCGCATGCTGGCGGGTGTGGCCCCCGCATCCTCCTTCTTCTGCTCCTCCTTATTCTCATCGTCCTCCTGCACCTTCTCCGCCTCCGCCACCTCACTCTCATATTACTCCTCGATGTCCTGCTACTGCTCCGCTGTCGTGTGTCTCCATCTCCTCCTCCTCCTCCTCAACATTATCATCAAGATCATCATCATCATCATCAGCAGCATCATCATCATCAGCATCATCAGCAGCATCGTCATCATCAGCAGCAGCAGCATTATCAGCATCATCACCACCATCCGCATCACCACCATCACCATATGCAGCATCAGCAACAGCAGCATCGTCATCAACAGCATCAACATCATCAGCATCAAGATCAGCATCATCGTCATCAGCAGCATCATCATCATCACCAGCATCCTCATCACCAGCATCAGCATCATCAGCATCAGCATCATCAGCAGTATCAGCAGCAACATTCGCATCATCAAAATCATTAATCATAATCCGCAGCATCATCGTGGTCCTCCTGTTCCTCATCCTCATCCTCCTTACTCGCCTCGTCCTCCTCCTCCTCCGCATCCTCATCCTCCTCCTCCTCCTCCTCCTTATGCTCCTCATGCTCGCTCTCACCTGGCTCGTTGTCGGGGGAATCCCCTCCAAGGCCCTAGGTGGGCGAGAGCACTTTCCTCGGACGAACATGTCGCGCCAGAGGCGTTCGGGCTGCTGTAAGCGTCTGCCCTGTGGGTCCCTCAAGACGCAAGGTCTATGCCAGTATTGGAAGCCATCTCTATCAGTCAACACGTCTCTGGAATATGCAGGGCGAGCTGTCCTGACGAGTGTCCACATCTCGTTCTCTTTCTCTCTCTCTCTCTCTCGCTCTCGTTCTCTCCTTCCCCCTCTCTCTCTATCTCTACGTATGCGCTTCTTTCGTGTGTGATGATCTCCCTCCCTCTCACACCGCAAATCGATCTACACATCTACCCATGTTACTGCCGATCTATCTTTATGTGGATGCAAGAACGTGTTTGCCCGTGTGCATGTACGCATGTGCGTGATATTATGCGTGGGTAACTCGTATTATCCATTCCCCATCTCTCCCTCACCTCTCTTATACTCCGCATCTGTACCACTACCTCACACTCATCTTCAATAGATTGTCGGCTATCCTTCACTATCTGTCTCTCTGTCTCTCTCTCTCTCTCTCGTTACGTATCTCGCTCGATCGTGTCTCTCTCTCTCTCTCTCTCTCTCACACTATCTCGTTCTCCCTCTCTCTCTCTCTCGCTTCTCGCTCTCCCTCTCTCTCTCGCTGTCTCTCTCCCTCTGTCTCTCTCGCTCTCTCTCTCTCTCTCGCTGGTTCTCTCTCTCTCTCTCTCTCTCTCTCTATATTTATAGATCTGTCAATGCACCCCTTTCTTCTTCCACTGCATCTGCGGGAGATACGGAAAAGAGAGAAAGGCACGAGGATACAGAGCATGAGGGATGAGAGGAGGGGAACGTGGCACGCGAGGGAGAGGACGAGGAGGAAGAACCCTCCCTGACTCGAGCATGATCGCCTCGAGATACTGATAGTACTAATGTATTGCCCCAATGTAAGGACCGTGGGGGTGATGTGAGTCGCACGCACGTCAGGCCGATACAGCATCTCGAAATAAGCGTATACCGGTGCATGCCCCGATGCAAATGCGTAGGTATCTACATATGTGGATGTGTGTTTATGCCTATCCATACCTCCCGACACGCTACAAATATGTCCACCGATCTATGATATACGCACGTATACCGGTATACGTGCATGTCTACATCCGCAACCATGCTGTGGGCACTGTTTCGAACGTCATGGCGGCCCTCGGCTGTCGCTGTATTGCACCCAGAATATTATGTCAAGAGCCCCGACCCCCGACTGCCAGACTCCGTAGCGCGTGGCGCAGGACTCTTGGGGTGTGTCGCGTCACCTTGCCAGTCGCCAGAGAGCCCCAAAACGGACCAAGAGGGCACCGAGAAAGAACCAGGACGGTCCAATAGGGCTCAAGATCGCCCCAGAGTACCCCAAGACAGCCCAAACTGACATCAAGACGGCCCAAGAGGCCCCCGAGACGCCCTAAGAGTGCTCCAGAAGGATCCCCAAGAGGGCCACAGGACGCCAAGGTCAGTAATGCGCCTTGAGTATTGAAAAGAGTTGGGCGCACAACTGACTGGCTGAGCTTGTGCAGACACTGGCAGCGCAGCCAAAAATGGACGCGAAAATAGCAAGGCCATAACAGATGGTAGATGCAGCTCTCATCCCACTTCCGACGCCCCTTCGGGATCACAACGCTCCCAGACGAACCATGGGGGACCGAGATCGCCCCGAGACTGCTCACGAGGCCCCCAGAGGGTCCCCAAGACGACCCAGGAGGCCTCTCAGTCTGCCCAAGGGGCTTATGCATGCGCCCCAAGAGCGGCCCAAGAGGGGAAGGCTCCAACTGGCCTTCGGAGCTTCTCTCCCGCAGGTTGCCCCCTAGGCCCAACATGCCCTCAAGAGGCCTCTAAGCGGCTTCCAAAAGACCTCCAACAGACCACCAGCGGCCCCAAAAGAGGCCACCCCAAGAGACCTCCAAGAGGCCTCCAGGAGGCAGCTCAAGAGACCCCAACTGACATCCACGTGGTCTCTGGTCCAATTACCAGGCACGGTGACCAGATGGCCCTAAGGCAATCAAATGCATGAGGATACATGTGGATACGTGTATGTGCAAACACGTTTGAAAGTTCAACAGCATGCTGGATTCGAAGCCATACTCCGATGGATGAGCTGCGTCCAGAGGGGGGCAGAGAACGGATCTTCGAGCGAGCGCCCAGGATGGAAGTAGTCATTCGGTGGGGAGGGGGGAAGGGAGGAAGCGACCTGTGCAGCCCTGACGCGGGATCCGATCGGCCGCCTGGCACCTCCTTACTGCCCGAGCTGGGCCCACACTCCAGCATAGAAGGAACCCACTGCGACACCAACAGCAGCACAGCAAGGCGGCGGCGGGAGCGGCGGGGGCGGCCGCAGCCGCAACAGCAACAGCGGCAGCTGCCGCCGCAGCGGAAGCACAGCGGCAGAACACAGCAGCTGCCGCCTGCGCGAACACCGCGGCGGACTTCAGGGCCTTCCGCACCACCGCGGCGTCCTTCCGTATAGCGCGCAGGTCGGAGGGGCAGAGACCGCCGCCCCCGAGAGCCCGTGATGGGCTGGGGCGACCCTGGGCGGTGGCACGTCCGAGCGTCATCCAGGACCGGACGACGCTCAGGCTTGGCACGGATCGGGGGGGTGTCCTCCCTGCTGGGTTCTCGGCGGCGGTGGCCTCTGCTTCTCCCCTCGGGCCAGATATGAACGGCAAGCGTCCGGGAGGGCCCGTTTCACAGGCAGGTCATTCCGCACCCCCTGCTGCTATCCTTTCCCTGGCCTCATCGCCATGCTGCTGGACTGGTAGCGCGCAACTTCCAGGGCAAGCTTTGATTACTCCACGTAGCCGAGAGCAAGAACTCTCGTCACCCGCAGCTTTGGCACCCAGATGGAGATAATGCGAACACTTCACCTGTGGGCCACTCCAACCTCCAGGAAATCTGATCTTGGCCCGACACAGTTGCACGGTCCGACGGACCTGGACCCTCAAAATCAAAAATAATGGCCGCGACGCCCTCTCGCGAACCGAAAACGGCCAATTCGCTAATCGACGTGTCAGGGTAGGAGGTCTATCAATCTCCGAGATCTGGCGCTCACGGGGCCTCCTGGATCGTCTGGGCGGGCTCTGGCAGCCTACGAAAGCACTCGGAGGCCCCGAAGAGCTCCCCAGACATCCTCACGAGCGGCGAACATGTCCACATCCGCGCAGCAATGGCGGTACAGGCCGCAAGAACCTTGATGCGTATAAGGGCATGAAACTTAGGATTGCTTGACAATCCGTCATGTTTCTGCTCTCTGTCTGTGCGTAGTTCTGTTCTGCCCCGACCACCAGTCCTTATGTCCATGTGGGTTTCCTCTTCTCTCTCCTGCCCTTCCCCTTTACACAGCTAGGAGCTGGGGAGTATATATGGTCCAGGGCTTGGGCCCCCCCCTCCCCCCCCCAATGCTGATGCCATTGGCCCCCCCCCCCCCGCGCGATGGTCCCCCCCGCCCCCCCCTGTGGGCGTGGCGTGGTGCTGCGCTGCGGTTCCCCCCCCCCTGTGGATGTGGTGTGGTGCTGTGGTGGTTCAGAGGTGGGCGTGGCGTGGTGCTGCTGCGGTGCCCCCCTCCCCCCCCCCTGTGGATGTGGTGTGGTGCTGTGGTGGTTCAGAGGTCGTCGTCGTCGTCGTCGTCGTCGTCGTCGTCGTCGTCCTCGTCGTCCTCGTCGTCGTCGTCGTCTCGTCGTCGTCGTCGTCGCCATCGTCGTCGTCGCCGTCGTCATCGTCGTCATCGTCGTCGTCGCCGCCGCCGCCGCCGGCGTCGTCGCCGCAGCCGTCGTTGTCGTCGTCGTGGTCGTCGTCGTCGTCGTCGTCGTCGTCGTCGCCGTCGTCGTAGTCGTCGCCGTCTTCGTCGTCGTCGTCGTCGTCGTCGTCTCTGGGACAATCTGGGGGGGTGGGCCCGAGGAATCCTGGGACCATACCATCTGGGGGGGGGGGCCCGTGGGCCCTCGACCCTGGATCATATATATATATATATATGTATGTGTATGTAGATGTGCGTGTGTCTATGTAACCCTCTCCCTGTCCCTCACGCCCCCTCTGTGAGTACACTGGGCATAGGTGCGGCGTCAGAATGTGATATATCCCTCTGTCTCTCTCTCTCTCTCTCTCTCTCTCTCTCTCTACTTACCTACCTGCCTACATTTGTATGTATATATATGTATATATATGTATCGCTATCTATTTCTCTCTCTCTCTCTTGCTCTGCCCCTCCCTCACACGTTTTCTAGATCCTTCCTTCTCCCCCCAAGGTCTGGCTAGAAGGGAACCGATATGAGAGTCCCCTCTCTCTACATACATACACACAGATCAATGCATGTCTCGCTCTCTCTCTCTCTCTCTCTCTCTAGTCATATGTACACATACATGTGTGTCATTAGTTCAATATCACTATCTTTCTTCCCCCCTCTCCACATGCATGTGACAAGGCGGTTGTGTACATTTGCGTGTGGGCGATCACCATGTCGTACTCATACACATACACAGAAAGTTGTATCGTTGTCTCCCTGCCTCTCTCTCTCTCTCTCTCGGTCTCTCTCTCTCTCTCTCTCTCTCTCTTTATATCTCTCTCTCTCTCTCTCCCTCCCCTCCTCGACCACGCGTGTATATGTATACTCGCGTACACCCCACAGCCTGAAAGCAGTACGAGAGGGGATCCCAATCTCGCCGTCTCTACCCTTGCCCCTCTTCATGCACTCCAGGGTCGCAGGGAGGGGAGCCGCGGACTGCTTTTCTCGCGCCCCTGCGCTGCGCCGAGCCTGTAAAAACCTGTCAGACGCTCAGGATCTCACACAAGTGCTGGACTGGGCCGAAGCTTATCAGGCTACACCAGTCCCCGCTGGGAGACACGCTGGGAGCCCCTGCTCCAGGAAGATATCCCTCTCACTTCCCTTCTCTGTCGCATGCTTCTCATGTTCGTCTGCCTCGTCCTCGTTCTCATCCCTCCTCCTTCGCTGCCACTACCGTCTCATCACCATCACAACCTTCGTTACCCTCGGCACCACCATCATCATCATCATCATCAGCAGCAGCAGCAGCAGCAACATCATCATCGACAGCACAAGTAGCAACAACATAGTCACACTTCCCAATCAACAACCGCATGACATCATCCACCGATGCTATACGTCAGGCACCAGCAACACGGAAGCATCGCCACACTTCCAATGACTATCTAACTAACATTACCATTGGTGGTAGAACACGCCGTCCCAAGGAACAACCAAACACATACACACCCTCAGGTTGCATCCACACAGCCACACAAACATACACACACACCCACACACACACACGCACACACACACACAAACACACATGCGAAGACACAAACACTCACGCACGCCCCATACACATGATGTTAACCCAAGACACCTAGATGAAACCGAAACAAAAACATACATTGAGTAAGGTCGGCGTACGCTTACTTCCGTGGACCAAAACTCACTCCAGGGACCAGGATGCCCCCAAACCCCACAGGCGTCGCCGACAATGGCAGAAACAACAAGAAGAAGCTGCTGCCCAGAGCCCAAGAACCTCGAGGGTGTCTAGGTAGGCACGCGATAAGAACTCCGAGAGATGATCCAAGGAACTCCCAATCTCCGCCCCCCCCCCCCCCCACAAGTGACCGAGCGCATGAACATATCTGGCCGCCTGATCCCTGAATATATCCGCGGGGTTTCCGCGGAATTGTGCCCGAATCACCCGTTGCGAAAGCATGGCAGACAAATCTGAAGAGGGCGGCGGACCCTACGCTGGCAGCAGCAAATCGCAGACACTCGCGTTGTCTCGTCGGTGAGCTCCTGGAGCAGAGTCCGCTTCCGAAAGAAACACATGCACCGCCGTACCTCCTCACTCCTCATTCACCATTCCGTCTCCCACTCCTTCATCAGCCTCCTCCTCCTCCTCCTCCTCCTCTTCTTCTTCTTCTTCCTCCTCCTCCTCCTCCTCCTCCTCCTCAGCTCCTCCTCCTCAGCTCCTCCTCCTCAGCTCCTCCTCCTCCTCCTCCTCCTCCTCCTCCTCCTCCTCCTCCTCCTCATCCCTCCTCCCTTTTCACCAGTCTCACTGTCCACATCAGATTCCTCCCCCTGTTGCATCCTGCTCGCTCTTGCGCCCTCCTGCTCCATCCCCATCCGCGTCCCCCGTCTTCCCCCCCTCTCTCAAACAACCTCGACTCTGTTCGCTGAACTCCTTGGCCCAGGCCCCCAACCGTGGACGCACCGACAGGGTGGGGAGGTACGGGACGACTTCCTTCCTTGACCCCGACTCGTGGCGTGAGGGAGAGCTTGAAGTCTGGCATAGCAAAGAAACCCGTCGACTACAACCTTGCCTTGTCCTGCCGTGTTCCTCACCATAGAGGGCATATGTTTGCGCGGCTGCTGCGGGAAGATCGGCCACGTGCTAGGCATGCACCGATATTACAGGTGTCCATGGGTGCTGTGGTGGGCTGGGTTTGTAACAGTTGAGCTGTGTGCCAATTATGCCCGCTTGTCGCGGCGCCCAGCGTGATCACGAGGGTCGCCCAGAAGACAGAATGACGATCCCTTGTGTTCATGACAATTCTCTGTTTTTATCAACGCCTAGCTCAAGTTCACTTGATACTTCGTGTGGCAGGGCGTGCAAGCTGCAAACTACACAAGGGGTGTGCTAGTTATGTTGATTTGCCTGCCTGCTCCATGATCAGCGTGCGGGTGCTTCGCGGCCACTCGCTCGTCGTCGGCATCCACCGTGGGTCACCTCGGAACGTCGGGCTCTGCTGCTTGCCCGGCCCATGCGCGTGGCTCGGTCTGCGAAGTGCGGGGGCTCGGGGCCGGAAGCTACCACAGTGCCTTGGGCTTGTGATCGGAGCGGTTGGATTAACGAAGCGGGGCGTAGCGCTCGAAGCCATTTCCGCAGATGTGATCGCGAGACCCCCCTGCCTCGAGCACGGACAGTGCCACGGAGGCGTGCAGGCATGGGCGCCTGCGCTGGAATCGGCCACCGTGCGTTCGGCATGTCAGGGCGCGCCAGAAGGCCTGGATGTCATCTGGTAGAGTGCATGCTGCGCTTCACGGCGAGTTTTTCGGCCTCCAGGCGACTTTGAGAGATCCAAAGGCCGCCCCTCGACGGCTACAAGACGCCCCAATGCCATCCAAAGACGGCCCAAAGAGCCCTCAAAGGCTCCACAACGTTCTAGAAATGCCGCTGAAACAAAAGGTTAATAAACACTCAAAGAGGCATCCAACGAATCCCGAGAAACAAAACATACTGAACACATAGACATGAGACATTGCTTCCGAGGCTGTTCAGTTTAAAATATGTCCGGGAAATGCAAACAGAACGCAAAAGAAACCGCCCCAGACGGTCCATGACAAACAGTCCCAATAACTCACTATTCCGCGTTTAGACGGCTCCACGACAGCCAAAGAGCACCCCAGGAATAGCTGCAAGACGCCCCACTATCATCCAAAGACGGCCCATCGAGCCCCCACAAACTCAAAGATCTCCCCCAGATGCCCCAACAAGCCCAAGGAAGGGCTCAAGAGACGTCGACGATGCCTTGAGCTAGGCCTTCAGAAGCGAAGCACACACACACACACACGGCAAAGCCACATGAACATCACTGTTGTTTGTGCCTGAGGCTGTCCAGCTTCAAACATCCTCGAAAAGAATTGAGGTAACACAGCAGAGCCCCGAAAGTTGTCCAACACCGTTTCAAGAGCGCCACATAACCGCCTTAACAGCCGTACTATTCAGCCTCAGGCGACTCCTATGACAGCCAAGAAGGAGCCCCAACACAGTTACACAGTATGACGTCGAATGACCACCCGAAGACGGCCCAATAAGCCCGCACAAGCTCTAGGCCTTCCAGAGATGGCCCAAGAAGTCCTAACAGGTCTCCGAGAGAGGCCCAAAAGGATCTCCAGCGAGGACCGAGCAGGCAAACTATTTGAAGAAAGCGGGAGAAAAGCATTACTTATTTCATTCCAATGCTTTGCGGCTTCAGGTCGCTTCGGGCACGTTTCAGAGAGCCCAAGACGGCCCCAAGAGCTCCAAGAGCCAGCCCCACGACTGCCCGAGAATTCAAAACAACTGCCCAACTAATCTCCAAGACGGCCCCAAGACATGCCCAAGGCATGCCCTCCTCGCTCTTTCGCCTCCGCCCGTATCCCTGGAAGCGGCAGGGCACATGATATCGAGGTTCGCCGTTGTGCGCTTCAATGCCGAATCAATGTTGTAGATGTTGTCGTCCAGAGCTGGTGTCGACAATATTCGTTGCTTCTGGCTGTTACGTTGTGCTTTTGTTTGGGCAACCTCTGGCTGCCATCTTTCCCTGCGTCAAATTCCATGGTTGCCCCGGGGTGCTGATCGCCGGCTCTGGACTTCGAACTGGTCTCGAGCGTCCCTTGGACTCCAAATCGCCCTCAATCCTCCGCCCCTGTTTGTCAGTTGCTTCCGTTCCTCTCAGCAACTGTTTTCGCCGCAATTGTTTGCAACGTTCGATGCCGTTTGTTTCCGTTTCGGCAATAAGTTTTCTTGTGGCACGTATGAACGCTGAGACCAGACAGCTCCTTTCTTACAACACACAGGGACCCAAAACAGAATCTGCGAGAGGTTTCGCCATGGGTTGCGCCAGGCACCCCGCGGACAACAAAATCGTCCCTTGCCCCAGTGGGTCTGCCAAAGGTTGCGCCAAGGGTTGCGCCAGGCACTCCGCGGGCAACCATCTCGTCCGTTGCCCCAATGGGTCTGCCATAGGTTGCGCAAGCATTTGCTGCGCCGCATACCCCGCAGGCAAGTTGTGTCTTGTCAAAGTGGCTGCTGATTGACTAGCTGACAACTGCAAGATTGTCTACGCGTGGGAAATACAATGAGCTGTGTCGTTAGTCGGAGGCTGGGGAGTACTGCAGTGCTAGCTCGGAGGGGGGTGCTCGGGCGTCGGATATTATCATGGATGGGGGCGCGGCAGGTTTCGAGTTGCAGCCATGGGAGGGAGGACTTTGAGGCGCCAGTTACTATCGCGGTCGGGGAAGCTTTAGCAATGGAGGCGATGATATCTGGGGCGGCAATCTGAGCCAGAGCGAGGACATCCGTTTCAGCCGTGGGGAAAGTGAGGGTATCCAGGTGGCAAATTTACTTCAGGACTGGGGAATTATTTGTGGATGCTCAAGCTGGGGGGGAACACTTATACGTGGCAATTCTAGCCCAGTAGGTGAGGATACACGGGTGACAAATTTAAGCGTGGCTGGCAGATATGAACGACTTAGCCTGGGGACTCTGGGGGGGGAGGAATGGCATGCATTGGGGATGGTCAATCGCGGGTGAGAACACTGGGTGGCTGATGTAGCCAGGACGGTGAGGATCTACTGCGGAAAACTTTAGCCAAACTGTTGGGTAGAGTTCGCCTGCAAAGTTTGCATCCGCGGGTTGGAGTGGGGGGGGTGGATGCTTCGGACAAGGCCGCAGGAGAGGGCGCAAGGAAGGCGTGGCGCACGGGAAGGGGACGATGGCGGCTGCAATTCTTGAGAGGGGTGGGTGGGAGGTTGCGGGGGGGCGCGTGGGGGGCGTGGGGGGAGGTGGGCGAGGGGGGCAGGGCTGGCGGGTCTTACCTGGCCATCCCACCCATCCCTATGCGATGGTTTGTCCTCTATCCGCCGACGGCTGTCACAACGGACCTCAATCGCCCAAAACGACTCGTCGTGCTGTGCGCAGTCAGACACGGGAGCTGCGTACGCTGGAGGAGAAGGAGAGACAGCCGCAGCAGGAGGGAGAGGAGGAGAGAGGAGGAGGAGGGCGGAGGAACAGCAGCAGCAGCATGACCAGCAGCAGGAGGAGCGGGATGACCAGGAGGACCAATGGAAGAATGAAAAGGGCAACAACGACGAGAAAGGACTCGGGTCCGGAAATGTGGCCCGCGGTGGGGCGAGAGCGCCACTCTGAACGACGGGGGCAAAGGGCCGACCTGGAAATGAGGCCATTGCTGCAGCGCGGGGTGCATCACTTTCAAGCATCAGAGATGTTCCAACCGAAACATCTTGTTCCTCCACAAGACTAGCGTACTGCAACTTCTATCCCACTTAGTGGGATACCAGGCTTCTGAGCACAGAACTAACTAACACAAGAGTGTACGGCATCTTCTATCCCACTTAGTGAGATAACAGGCTACTGATGAGCACAGAGCAAACCTACACAAGAACGTACGGCAACATCTGTCCCACTTCGATGCTCCAACCGAAACAACAGCCGCTGTGCCTCGAGGCACAGAGTGAGGTGTCCGCGGGCCCCCAAAAATCCCCGCACTCTGCATTTCGTATTGAAAACTGTCCGATGAGTGGCAGGGAGCCCAAACGCTCAAATATTCTCGGCGCTCCCGCGCGCTTCCTCACGTGACTTATCCAGACTCCCGAGGGCCCCACGACGGACAGGGCCCCGAGAAGCGCCGAAGAGGGCCCAAGAGGCCCCCAAGACCGCCCGAGAACGCTCCAAGACGCCCAAGATGGCCTCCAGGCGGCACAGGAGGCCCCCAAGACGACCCAAAAGGGCTCCAAGAGGCCCTCCAAGAGGGCCCCGAGATGCAAACATATGTGATCCCTGTAACTGCTGCAAGATATTAGTGTTTTCCCTTCTCGCCGGGCTGTCGACGCTCCAAGGTGGCCCAGGAGGTCCCAAAGATCGCCCCAAGACTGCCCGAGAGGCCCCCAAGAGCGCCCACAGACGGGTCGAAATGGCCCTAAGTCGGCCCCAAGTGCCCTCAAGGCGTCCCCTGAGGCCCCCCCTGGGAGCACGGAATTTCGAGACCTTCGCCCCAAGATTGCCCCCGACACCGCCAGCAGGCCCCCAGGAGGCCCCCCACAAGCTCCAGCAGGCTCCAACAGGGCCCAAATCAGGCCCGAGCAGGTCTCCAAGAGACACCCGAAAGGCCCCCGAGGCTCCCCAAAACCGAATCCAAGAGGCTTCCGAGAGGCCTCCCAAGAAAACCCACAGGCATCCCAGGGGCCTCTGACCTACAATACAACCCAACAACGGCGGCTGCATGGGCCGAAAGCCACTAGATCCGCCACCGTGTCTCTGGGCATCCTCAGGTCCTTGTCCTAACCCTTGGAGCCTCAGCCCTCAGTGCAGAGGAGCCTTTAGGGGGCCCGGGCCCGGATTGCCAAATGTGGCGGGGCTTGTCGCGTGCCCTCTGAGCTCCCCCACGGCTTCTCGCATGAACTGTTCGGGCCCAAGACGACCCCAAGCCGGGCCAAGAGAGCTCCAGGAGGCCGTCAAGACCGCCCAGGAGGGCCCCGATACGCCCAGAGATCGGCACAAGATGCCCTAGGTGGCCCCAAGACGGCCTCAGAGGCATCCAAGACGGCCCCAGGGGCCTCCAAATTGCCTCCCAAGAGGGCCCAAACAAGCGAAAATCACAAATGCTCCTCGGGTTGTGAAAGGATTTGAGCGTTGTCGCAGTTTCGATTTCCGCTCCAAGACGGCCCCAGCGACCCCCAAGACCACCCCAAAACGGCCCAAGAGGCTTCCAAGTGAGCCCCAAGGCCCAAGAGCGCCCCAAGACGGCCCAAGAGGGCCCCAAGACGGCCCCAAAAGGGGCCCAAGAGAGGGAACTCGAACCGACGATTCGAGCCTTCCGCCCCAAGTAGCCCCCAGGAGGCCCCAAGAGACCCCCAAGAGGCCCAAGAGGCCCCCAAGAGGCCTCCAAGAGGCCCCAAGAGGACCCCAGGAGGCCCAAAAGATGCCCCCAAAGGCCCCAAGAGGCCCCCAAGAGGCCTCCAAACTGCCCCAACGAGACCCCAACGAACAACCAATAGGCTTCACACCCACAACACAAGCACAATGGCGAGATGGGCCGAAGGCCATTAAACATGGGCCGGCACGGACACGGAAAGAGCGCTTCGGGAATAGGCCAGAGATGGCTCATGGCACCGTTCGCTCCTGGGAGCCTGCGCGGTCCAGGACAAAGGAAGGGTTGTCCCATGTGCCCCTCGAAATCTTGTGCAACACAATGTTTTCAAACATATTTTCCTGAAGGTGCCGTCAAGAGAGGCTCGTTTCGGCGGTGCGACCCCCAAGATCGCCCCAAGATGGCCCAAAAGGCCTCAAAGATGACCCCATGACGGCCCAAGAGGTCCCCAAGACGGCTCCAAGAGGGCCTCCACGTTCGCCCAAGATGGTCCAAGATGGCCTCCGAGACGGCCCAAGAGGGTCCAAGATGGCCTCCAAGACGGCCCAAGAGGGTCCGAGACGCCACCAAATCCGCCCAAGAAGCCTCCAAGACGGCCAAAGACGGCCCAAGAGGCTCCCAGGAGGCCTCCAAAACGGCCCACGATGCCACCAAGAGGTCTCCCAGGAGGGCCCGAAGAGGCCAAAGTCATTGATTGTCCGTAGAATGCTGAAGCATTTTGGCATTTGCTTCGCTTCGGCCCTCCGACAGTCAGAAACAGCCCAAGAGGCCCCCAAGATCGCCCCACAATTCCCCAAGAGGCTCCCTGGATGGCACCACGACGGCCAAGAGGCCCCCGAGACGGCCCCGAGAGGACCCCAAGACGGCCCAAGACGCCTCCGAGACGTCTAAGATGGCCTCCGCGACGGCCCCGACGCACCGCAAGAGGGCCTCCGGTCGGTTCAGAGAGGCCCCCAAGACGGCTTCCGGCGGCGTCAGACGGGCCGCGCCCCAGGACGGACAGAGAGGCCCCCAAAATGCCCCCCCCATTGGCCGCCGAGATGCCTCCGAGGGGCCCCCAGGGAGCTCCGAGGAGGTCCCAAGAGTGCCTCCTCCAGAGGCTCCAAGGATGTTCCCTTCTCCTCCTCCTCCTCCTCCTCCTCCTCCTCCTCCTCCTCCTCCTCCTCCTCCTGCTGATCTTCCCAGCCATCCTCCCTCCCCCAAGTGTTTCCCGAAGGGTTTCCACAACGGCTGGGGGAGCACATGGTCCGATAGCTTGGCAGAGCTCTGGCCACAACGTTCGGCCACATGGGCAATTCCAAAAAAGGCAGGGGGAGGCGGTGATCAGCCGTAGACGTCTTCGATACACATGAACCAATGAACAAAACATCAAATGTCAACCCTTATCCCAGGCCTCGTAGGGTTTCCGAATGGACCAGAATCTGTGGGCCAACCCTGGGATATATGATGGGGGGGCGTCCGTCCTCGATAGGGGTGCGTCCGAATAGCCCCACTGGGGTGTATCCCAGGGTTCCCCCCTTTTCGGGCGGAACTCGGGGATTGGGGGAGAAAGACCGCCTGCGACCAAAAGACACGTTGGAACTCCGACGCGTAAGAGAACAGCCTGCGGGCCAAAAGGGCCCCTGCTCGGACGGAGTCCAGGGAGAGAGAAGAGCAGCACTAGAACAACAAGTCTGGCTCGGATCACAGACGGCTCAGCTCGGCCCAGACCCGGCACGGCCCGGCCCAAACGTCTCACGCGGCATTTTTACCGTGGTGGTGCGACTATATAAATATGTGTGTATATGTGCATGCTTTGTTCCTGAGCCTCTGTGGTGGTGCGACTCTCTATACACTTTGTTCCTGAGCCTCCATGGTGGTGCGACTGTCCATATGCGTTGTTCCTGAGCCTCCGTGGTGGTGCGACTGTCTATATGCTCGCCCCTCAGCGTTGGATAGGTGCGCACCAGGGGCGGGCTGTTCGATGATTGCATTTGGTCATCTGGCGAACTCAGCTCGGATATACCACACGAGTTTGAGCTTCGATCGCTGCATCGAGCTCCGCTCACGCGTTTGATGATCTCGACTGACAGCATGGACAGGGGGCGGTGCCTACAGCGAATGA